GCTGACTGGTACAGTCGGGGCCCTGAGGAAGGAACCCTTTTCGTTGGGGAGGGGCTCCGCGTTCCTTGAGTGTTTCGCAGCTTGCCTCAGGCTTTCCTGATGTGTTCGACCGGAAATCGAAGTTTAACTTGTGGCGAAAAGGGGCCTCGTTCCTTATTTTGGGTTCCTTGGGTCAAGGCCCCGACTGTAGGTCGACCATGTCGAGGGTGCCCCTGGGGCCTGCCTACCCCCCGACCTGTGCAGCCCGCGTGTGCCGGTGGTGTTCTGGGGCCTGGAGGCCGTCGGAAGAGTCTTGTGCACAGGGCTCGACCTCTCTACAGTGGGGGCGCGCGTCAAGAAACCATCTGCTTTTCGTCAGGGTATCCTGGGTTTCTTCGCTCCTCGCGCCGCGCGGTGACTTCCCGCGGCCATTGAAGAAGCTGTTGGGCTCAGGGTGCTCCAGGTTTCCACTCGGGTGCACGTCGCTCACGGGTTCTCAGGGGTGGGTTTCTTGCGAGGGTTTCTTGCGGCCGCGCCCGCACTGTAAACGATGTGTTCCGTTTCCGTGTTGTGTGTTCGTCGTCCTTGTTTTTGTTTGCCTTCGCCCCGCCGCTGCTGCAGAACGACATCGAAGCGACAGCGGTGCTCGAAATCGCCAAACCAGCGTTTGGGTCGAGCCCTGCCTGTGCCCTCCTTGGTCGGAGGGAGGAGACGCGATACCGAGGAGGCCCACGATGCCTCCTCGAGCTGGAGGCTGGGCATGTCTCGAGCGAGAGGGGGGACCACCCCAACAGGGAGACCCCCCATGCCTCCTCGTATGTTCTCGCCCTGGTGGTGTTGGTGTCGCCTTTCCTTGTTCCTATCCTGGGCGTCGACGGTGCTGTCCGGGCGTGCGAAAGGCGGCCACGGGAAGCAAGGGCAAGCGGCCACCCTCGTGCACACGGCCAGCGGCACGAGGGACAGCCACAGGACAGCCACTGGACATCCACACGACGATCGTAAGACAGATGCAATAAATACTCCTCCTCCTCCTCCTCCTCCTCCTCGTCCTCCTCCTCCGCCTCCTCCTCCTCCTCCTTGCTCCTCCTCCTCCTCCTTCTCCTCCCTCCTCCTCCTCCTGGCTCCTCCTCCTCTCCTCCTTCTCCTCCTTCTCCTCCTCCTCCTCCCTCCTCCTCCTCCTCCTCCTCCTCCCCCTCCTCCCTCTCCCCCTCCTCCTCCTCCTCCTCCTCCTCCTCCTCCTCCTCCTGAAACCGAACAACGCACCAAACACTCAACCAGCGGTTGGCCACGGAGCAGCCGCGGGGCAGCCGAAGGACAACATGGGGGAGCCGCAGGACAGCCGCCGGGCAACGGCGGGGCAGGCAGGGCGACGCGCGGCGGGCACGGGGGGAGGGCGTGGGAGACCCCTTACACCTAACTCGTCTAACTCGTCGAGCTCTTTCACCTGCCTGCTTATCCATCTCACTATCTACCGAGCCGTGGGACAACGACAGGACAGCTGGGGGGCAGCAGCGCAGAACAGCCACAGGACAGCCACTTGACAACCGTGGAACGACTGCGCTGGGCAACCACGGGGCATCCGCTCAGAGCAACCCAGGACACCCTCGGCCACCTGACTTTCCTATGTAGTTTTGCTGATCCGTCTCGCCGTTCTCACCCTCGGTTCTCCTCTGAATAACTATTCCAGTCCGTCGACGTATTCCAACCTTTCCAGCTCGTCGACTGGAGACCCCTTACAGCCCGTTCCGCCGACTCCGGAGGAGGACCAGCAGGCCCCAGAAGGCCGCGACGCGGGCCGAGGAGCGCAGGGAGGCAGGCCGACGACTTGCCCCAGAACGGCCCGAAGAGCACCTCGAGACTGGGAGCAGAGACAGAACACCGTGGCACGTACATCTGGAGGCCGTCTCGCAGGCCTAGAGGTTGACACCAACACCAATATCGGCGGTGTGCCTCCACCGAGGGAAGAAGATCCCACTCTCGGTGATGGTGGTAATATTCTGGCCGCCAAGACCGAAATCTAGGATCACCTTCCCCATCTGGAGGCAACCCGATGTGTTAGTGCTGGTGCCCATTTCCAGGCCTCCAAACTCGGGTGTGTCTTAGCATGGGAGGATCTTGCGCAGCTTCCCCTCGCCCGCCTGAGCGGCACGACCTCCGACCGCTGGCGGTTGGGCCTCCGCCCCTCTTCGGCACCCCTCCCCCCACCCTCCAGTGCAGACAGTACTCGCAGCCTGCTCCTTCTTCTCCTGCTGCACGTGCTGCCGCCGCTGCCACCTCCTCCGCCGCGGGAGCTGCTGATTCTTATGCTGGTGGTGTTGCTGCTCCTCCTCTTTTTTCTCAGTTTCGCCGCGGGAAGGTCGAGAGGATGCCGACCCGCGAGGAGGGCACAACTTTCCCCCGGGCGTCGTCGGTCCACTACTTCTTGGCCATGGGGAGGGGCGGACACACGCACGCAAACCACGGCGTCCGATGCTCCGGCATCTTTCGCGTAGTGTGCTTCTTCTCCCGGGTTTTGACGCAGATTGTGTCCTGCATTCTTCCCTGTGCGGTTGGACCAAGCTGGACGACACCAGCAGCAGCAAGCTAGACTTCTTCTTCCGAGTTTAACGCCCCTGGGATCGGGCTTCATGTGGCACTTGTTTCTGGGCCGATGCCTGGTTGCATGGCTGCCCCGTCGCCGGTGTTGCGTTTTTTTCTGCTGGGCGGCACCGCCGATCCAATTTTCGCGCGGTGCTGGTTTCTCGATTCGTTGTCTCATGGCTATCGTTGCTTTCGCTGCCTGATTGCTGCGTTCGATTAGACTCTGTCGAGCGATAATGCAGATTGTGCCCTTCAGTCTTCCCTGTGCGGTTGGACCGAACTGGAAGACACCAGCAGCAGCAAGCTAGACTATTGGGATCTCATGCTGCGCAGCGGTACTCGGAGCAAGGCGGGGGGGGGGGGGGAAGCGCACACAACCACGACCGCCACCCACACCTGCGGACTGCAGTATGGCAGCAAAGCAGAGGCTTGTAGCACAGGCGTGTGGGGTAACACTTGTGGCGGGCCCCCCCGGCGGCGGCGGCGCAACCGCCTAGGGGTCAGCCCGCCATCGGCGTCGTCTTCGTCTTGCTCGTCGTCTTCCTCATCGCTGCTCGTCGTCTTCGTCGTCGGCATCTTGGTCATCCTGACCGTCGTCGTCTTCGTCGTCGTCTTATCCTCACCCGCTCCATCCCACCTGCAACGCCGAAGGCAGTGCGCACTCCAGGGAGAGGGGTGGCAGGAATATCAGACTCAGCACACCTGCGGCGACCTTCCACAAATATGTGATGCACATGGCATCCACACATGTGCGAAGGCACACGTTGAGATCTGCATGCGCAGCACGGATGGGCTGGAGTGCACGCGAGATAGTCTAGATAGTCGAAGCACGCCAATTAGACGATGGGGCCTCATCAGCCAACTGGGCCTTCGACGAGTATCTGGCGGTACCGCGACGCCCACCAGAAACCACAGCGTGCGTCCCAAGGACCCCCACATCGAAAGCCAAACTGGCAAGTACTTTAGGAAGTTCTGCGAGCACATCGGGCTATCGATCACCACCACCCACCACGACAGGGCCTCCATACTAGAAGGTGCAGAGCACAAGTAAGAGCGCCGTATAGCCACACCGACGGCGGTGGAGCAGTGCAACGCCCCTCGGGCAGCGGGCAAAAGACTGCAGCTCATCGAGGCGAGAGGGCACGGGGGCCATTCCCCTGTGGTGCTGTCAAGCGCGATGGCGGTCAGATCCAGCTTCGCCACCTCCACCTTCTCTGCCTCCTGCTGCCTGCCCGTCCCCCCCCCTGCTCTCCCCTTGCCCCCCCCGTCCCCCCTCGCCGCCTCCCGCCCGCCCCGGCCCGACGAGAGCACGCGCCTGCTGCCTCCCTGCCCTTTGGCACCTCCTTCTCATGCTGCCCCTCCTCCTGCCCCATCCTTTCCTTCCTCCTCCTCCTCCGCCTCCTCCTCCTCCTCCTCCTCCTCCTCCTCCTCCTCCTTGGTTCTTGAGCCTTCCCCTCGGCGGCCAGCTCACTCCTCCTCTCCCTCGTCCTCCTCCCGCCCCTCTTCCCGAGCAGGAGTAGACACCGCTGCCGCTCAGCGTGCCTCGTCGCCGCGGTGGGGCCCGTTCCAAGCAATCCTGGGCACGGACGCGCGCCAGGAGAGGCCCAGGGAGCAGCAACGTCGGCATCTCTTCGCCCCCCCAGGTCCCGCCCGCCCCTTCCGGCCGCCCCGCCCCCCCCCGCCCGCCCCACGATGGGTCCGCGGGGTGGGGGAGGGGAGCGAGGAGGAGGAGGAGGAGGAGGAGGAGGAGGAGGAGGAGGAGGAGGAGGAGGAGGAGAGGGGAGGAGGAGGAGGAGGAGGAGGAGGAGGAGGAGGAGGAGGAGGAGGAGGAGGTAGGAGGAGGAGGAGGAGGAGGAGGAGGAGGAGGAGGCGGAGGGGGAGGAGCGAGGAGGAGGGGAGGGAGGAGAGTAGGAGGAGGAGGAGGAGGAGGAGGAGGAGGAGGAGGAAGGAGGAGGAGGAGGAGGAGGAGCGAGGATGAGGAGGAGGAGGCGGAGGAGGAGGAGGAGAGGAGGAGGGAGGAGGAGGAGGGGAGGAGAGGAGGAGGAGGAGGAGGAGGAGGAGGAGGAGGAGGAGGAGGAGGAGGAGGAGGAGGAGGAGGAGGAGGCGGAGAGCGGAGGGGGAGGAGCGAGGAGGAGGGGAGGAGGAGGAGTAGGAGGAGGAGGAGGAGGAGGAGGAGGAGGAGGAGGAGGAGGAGGAGGAGGAGGAGGAGCGAGGATGATGAGGAGGCGGAGGAGGAGGAGGAGGAGGAGGAGGCGGAGGAGGCGGAGGAGGAGGGGGGAGGGGGAGGAGGAGGAGGAGGAGGAGGAGGAGGAGGAGGAGGAGGAGGAGGAGGAGGAGGAGGAGGAGGAGGAGGAGGAGGACGTTGCCCGTCCCGCGCGTCCGCCTGCTGCCTGGCCCCTGCCGTCTGCCCTGCGCGTGGAGCCCCTGTTTCCCCGGCCCAGGGCCATGTGGAGGCTGCACGTGCGCAGGCCGGTGACGGTGCACCTGAACTTCCGCAGCGAGCGCCACGTGTCGCCAACAGGAGCACAGCCCCGTCCCGCCCACGCACGCACGCACGCACGCACGCACGCACGCACGCACGCACGCACGCACGCACGCACGCACGCACGCACGCACGCACGCACGCACGCACGCACGCACGCACGCACGCACGCACGCACGCACGCACACACACACACACACACACACAACACACACAACACACACACACACACACACACACACACACACACACACACACACACACGCACGCACACACACACACACACACCACACACACACACACACGCACACGCACACGCACACGCACACGCACACGCACACGCACACGCACACGCACACGCACACGCACACGCACACGCACACACACACACACTCTCGTTTGCTCCTTCTTTTGTTGTCCGTTCTTTATTTCTTTCTCTCTGTTTTCCCCCAGCTGTTGCTGGGTTACGTCCCCCTCTCTCTTGCTACGCATGTATGTATCGCTCTCTTTCTCTGTGTCGTTTCCCATGCGTTTGATTATCTCTCTTTCTCTCTAATTCTCCATTGCTCTCTCTCTCACTCTCCGTCTCTCACTCACACTCTTTACTCTCCCTACACACACGCACGCAAACACCTCTCGTATATTTGCCCTCTCGTTGTTGTTGTTGTTGTTGGCGATGATGTTGTCGTTGTTGCTGTTGCTGGTGGTGTTGTTGTTGTTGGTGGTGGTGTTGTTGTTGCTGCTGCGGTTGTTGTTTGTGTCGTTGTTGCTGCTGCGGTTGTTGTTGTTGTTGTCCTCTTTGTATCCCTCTTGCTCATTCTCTTTGTCAAGCCTCTTTCAGTCTCTACGCATTCCACCGCTGTAGGTTCACACTCTTGTATCAAAGAAGCTGATGGAGAGCTGCGGCTGATGTATATTCTGGTACCGCATGCACACCTACATAACACATGATTGCTGATGATTTGTTGAGGAGAACTTAGTTGTGTCACATTCGCGCAAGCACCTAGTTTGGTATTGCACCCAACCCTGAGTAGGAGTTGGGCCTGCTTCTTGAATCCGCGGCGCCCCGCGTCTCCCTCCTCCCCTTCCCTTCCCTCCCTCTGCTCTCCGCAGCCCCCCCTTCCCTCCGTGGTTTTGCTCGTGGTCGAAAACGTATCCGTATCCGCGGCCACGCGGGCCGGGGGCCTCTGGGCCGCGACCCCGCGGATACGTCTTTTGTTGTTTTCCGCGGATGCCCCGCGCGGGGCGTATCCGTGCGACAGCGTGTCCGCGGGATCGCGCCCCGAAATCCAGACCGCAAGGGCTCGGATATGGATATGGTCGCCGCTCGTGATCGCCCCTGCATTCCGCAAATTCATGTCGGCACACCGTCACACGCTTCGTGGCCTCAAAGGGAGCTCCACCGAAGGCCAGAGCAGGCAAGGCCGCACGCTGGGTAATCATGTCCGCGTGTTCGCTGGCTCGAAGCCGGCACTACCCTCACACGTTTCGTGGCTCTGCGGGGAGCAGAACCCCGACGGCCTCAGTGGGCGTGTCCGCATGCTAAGCGGCTGAGGGGAGAGTGAGGAGGAAGAGAGAAGACGATACAGTCCACCATGTGCTCAAGTCGGCGCAACACAACAATTACGCGGGAGTGGAGAGGAAGAGGAGAAGGAGGAGGAAGAGGAGGAGTCAGGAAGAGGGAGGAGGTGGGCGGAGGGAGGAGGGAGGGAATGGGGAGGTGGGATGAAGGAGGATCATGACGAGGAGGAGAAGAGAGGAGCAGCAGGAGGCAGCAGTATAAATTAGGGGGAGGGAGAGAGGTTGAGTACAAGCTAGGTACGCTCTCGCCATATCTGACAGACCATCCCTCCACCCCGTCCCTTCCCGTTGCTCTGAGTTTTACCTTTCCGCCGACGCATGTCATAGCCGACCTGGACTTCGAAAAGGACCCCGTCGTGTTATGCGCAATCGGAAAAAAGGGGAGCTGCGTACACCGGAGGAGAAGTTGGCGGATGAGCAGGAGGATGAGCAGGAGGAAATGGAAGATCATGAGGAAAGCGAAAGACGAGGACAAACAGCAGCAGCAGGAGCTGGAGTGCAAGGAGCGGGAGGGGCAGGAGGACCGGGGGAAGGCGGAGGAGGGGACAGGAGGGGGGGGGGGGGACAGCGATGAGGACTGATCCGAATGCAGGACAGTTGCCCGCGCTGGGGCGAGAGTGCCACTCTGAACGGCGGGAGCAGCGCGCCCTTCCTAAGATGAGGACCGTGCTTCAGCGGCAGCATCACTTGGAGGACTAAAGCGACCGTTTTGCAAACAATCGTGCGAAAAAACACAAGCCAGCATGCAGAGAGGACAGAGCAGCTTCCGCTCAGAGAGAGGGGGGAGAATGGGGAGTCTCCTTCATGTTGGGTAATTGGGGAGAAGGTGGTGGTGGTGGTGGAGGAGGAGGAGGAGGAGGAGGAGGAGGGGAGGAGGAGGAGGAGGAGGAGGAGGAGGAGGAGGAGGAGGAGGAGGAGGAGGGGGGGAAGCATGCAGGGAGGAGGAAAAGGACGAGGGTGAAAGCATGGGAAAGCAAGAGGAGGAGGAGGAGGAGAAGGAGGAGGAGGAGGAGGAGGAAGCGGAGGAGGCGGAGGAGGCGGAGGAGGCGGAGGAGGAGGAGGAGGAGGAGGAGGAGGAGGAGGAGGAGTCCGCCGCCGCCGCCGCCGCCGACGACGACGACGACGACGGCCCCCCGCAGGGGCCGAGAAGTGGCTCCTCGAGGGCGGCTGGGAGCGCCGCGGCCTCGGCTCCGCCCCGCGCGCGTTCTCGCGCGCTCTCGCGCGGAGGCGGCCGGCGGCCGACGCGGGGGGGAGCGCCCCGGCCCGCTGGCAGGAGCCCCTCGGGCACCGTGCGAGCCGTAGGCTCTCTCGCGACGCGCGCGCGCCCGCGCAGGGGCGGCTGGCGGCCGACGCGGGGGAGAGACTCCCGGGTCTCGGGAGGGAAGAAGGCACACAGACACAATCCATCGTCGACTCCCCAGGAGATGTGGGAAAACATGGGAAGTGGGGGGGGAGACGAAAAAAACAAAAAAGATTTGGAAATATGGGGGATCTTTTTATTTGAGGCCGACGCGGGGGAGACTCCCTGGCCTCGGGAGGGAAAAAAACCCAGACACCATCGATCGTCGATTCCCCAGAAGATGTGGGAAAACATGGGAAGTGGGGGGGAAGACGAGAAAAAGCCCCAAAAGATATGGGGAACCATGGGGCATCTTTTGATTTGTGTGTGTGTTTCTTGGTGTGTCCCCAGGGGCCCCTTCATGGTCAGCTGGCAGGTGCCCACGGGGTACACGGCCGGTCCGAGGTGTCAGGTCGAGGTCGGTCCGGGGGGGGGGGGGGGGGGGCGGCCCCCAGCAGAAAAAAAACGGCTCCCAAAACAGAAAAAAACGGCTCCCAAAACAGAAACAAAACGTCGATCTCCAAAACGGAAAAAACAAAAAAAAACGTCCCCAGCGTTTTTAAGATCATCTAAGGGGGGGCCCTGCTCTTCTTCGTGGGTGCTGGACGTTCCCGTGCCTCCTGGGGGGCGGGTGCCCTTGAGCGTTCTGCGGTTTGGGCAGGCGGAGGGCCTCGCGTTCCCGGGGGGATGCTCTTCTGCCCCGGGTGCGGCGGCAGCGGGGGCCCCAGGTACGGGGAACGGGTTATTGATAGGGCCCCCGAGCCAAGAACAGATGACGGAATCACTGAACCTCAGAGCCCCGAATCATCAGGGGTAACTCGGGTCAGGGCTAACTCGGGTTCGTTTTTCGGGAATCCCAACCCGAGTTACCCCGGACCCGAGTTACCCCGGATAACTCGGGCGTCTAGAGCCCCGAATCATCAGGGGTAGCTCGGGTCAGGGCTAACTCGGGTTCCTTTTTCGGGAATCCAAACCCGAGTTACCCCGGACCCGAGTTACCCCGGAAAACTCGGGCGCCCAAGATGACGGAATCACTGAACCAGGCCTGCCGTAGCTTTGCGTTCCTCGAGTGACGGCAGCTCTGGTCAGTGGAAGGGGGCGGAGGAGGCGTCCCCAAGCGCACGCTTGCGCATGTCAGGTATGGCAGGCTTGGGTGCATGCGTGTTGTTCCCTATGCGTGGAGCCTCTGTACCACTGTACCCCCCCGTGGTGTCGACCACGCGGCTGGCACAGGGCGAGGGCTACTTCATTGTCCCTTTCCTTCCTCCTCGGGTGCCGGCGGAACTCGCGCGGAAGATGGTGGAGGTAACAATTCGGGGGATGCCAGCCCAACCTCGGCACAGGCGCATTCGTCGGGGACGAGGCGCAGGGTGTTTAACAAATCGTCCGCCCCCATCTCCCTTTCCTCCCATGCTGGGCGAGAGAGGAGCGGGAGGGAAGATGACCATGAGACCCCCCTCGCGGTCAGGGATTCGGGCAGAGAGGGGGCAACCAAGCCGCAGAACGGTCGCACTTGAAACGGCTAACCTGGTTCAACTGCACATGGGCAACAGGTCAGCTGGGCAATTATCGTCCCGTGGGGTGCATGCGTTGGCCGTGTAAGGTTATCGGGGGCCGGGGCCGGTTCGGGGGCCATTGCCTCCTCCTCCTCCTCCTCCTCCTCCTCCTCCTCCTCCTCCTCCTCCTCCTCCCCTCGTCTGCTTTTGCTTAAAATGTTGTGCAGCTGTTATTGCCTGGGTCTGGGGCCGCACATGCCACTCGTGCACACACGTTTGCCAGAATTTCGGCAGACCGGAAGCACTCTGGGGTTGGCGCGGCCGGCATTTTGGGAAAATGCGCCAATTGGGGCAACATCCAGGGGCCCAGAGGGGCTACAGACCCTTGCGTTCCACGCTCTCGCCTGTAACGAACAACAGCGCCGACGTCATGCACACCTGCTACTTCGGATTACTGACCTTCCGGGTAGCCCCACCAGCCTCTCCAGATCCAACTCTTGGGCGAGTTGTCGTGAGAAGGGAAGTTAAAAAAAAAAAACACGAGTGGCAAAAAAAGGGAGGACACAAGCCAAACCAAGGGATGGCTCATCCCCCCAGAGGTCGTCAATCTGAGACCTCATGGGAACCTCTCAGGGCCATCGCAGGGCTTTCTGGTGGGACAAGCAGGTACGGATACCGCTTCTCCGGGGACCTCTCCTGGGATGCGCTCCGACCAGGATTCCGAGGGAGGTACCCCAGACGTGCCGACGAGAGCTCTCTCGGACGAGCAGCGGCATCGATTTCCCGAACCTCATGAGCTGTCTTGGAGGGTTCCACGGGGTCCGGGCAGCAGGCCGCCCTCTCATGGCTGGCCGGGGGGGGGGGGGGTTCTGAACCTGCTCGCCTGGGATGGTTGTGGCCCCCTCCCCTCTATTACAGATCTGAAGTATCCTTGCCTCCTCTGACCATTTGCGCCCCTGCTGGAGGCTGGGCCCAGCTCACTTTCGCTGCCGCCGAGTCCCATGCGGCGGGCCCCTCCCTCGGCCGCCTCGCGTCTGTCGGCGGCCAGCACGGGGGGGAAGGGAGAGGTGACGTGCCGATTTCCACCACCACTACCATAGGTAGGAGGTAGAGAGGAGGAGGAGGAGGAGGAGGAGGGAGGAGGAGGAGGAGGAGGAGGAGGAGGAGGAGGAGGAGGAGGAGGAGGAGGAGGAGGAGGAGGAGGAGGAGGAGAGAGGAGGAGGAGGAGGAGGAGGAGGAGGAGGAGGAGGAGGAGGAGGAGGGAGGAGGAGGAGGAGGAGGAGGAGGAGGAGGAGGAGGAGGAGGAGGAGGAGCAGGAGCACGAGGAGGAGGAGGAGGAAGAAGAGGAGGAAGAGGAGAAAGAGGAGAAATAGGAGGATGCTGCTGCTGCAGATGATTATGATGCTGATGCTGATGCTGATGATGCTGCTGCTGCTGCTGATGATGATGATGATGATGATGATGATGATGACGATGATGATGATGGTGGTGGTGGTGGTGGTGGTGATGATGGTGGTGGTGGTGAGGAGGAGGAGGAGGAGGAGGAGGAGGAGGAGGAGGAGGAGGAGGAGGGAGGAGGAGGCGGAGGAGGAGGAAGAGGAGGAAGAGGAGGAAGAGGAGGAAGAGGAGGATTACCTCCCCATCCTCACTTCTCTCCCTTCCTACGTATGGTATGGGTGGTGAAAATTGGCCCATCAAGGGGGGCGGGCCTTCTCAGAAGGCTCGGAAGGCCTCTAGCCTTCTGAGAAGTCTTCCGATAACCTTCGCAGAAGGCGCAGAAGACTGTCCAGAAGGCCGAAGGGCTTCTGAGAGGCCCCGCCGCCTTCTGAGAGGGCCTCCTCCTTCTCGCTTCCCCTCGCTCTCCGCCGCATCCTGGAGGCCGTCGGCCGAAGGAGAAGAAGAAATGTAGTCTTCCTGTCGGAACCCGAAAAGCCGCCTGCTGGAGCCGTCTTGGATCGTTCTTGGTGTGCTCCTTGGGACACTTGAAATCCCGAGTGGACATTTGTATGACCATGGAAGGGTCGAACAGGCGCGAGCGTATCGTTCCCAGTTCAATGCCTCAGCGAACTTTCTTGAGGATTCCTTGGCCACATGGCAGGCATTATCGTAGCCAATTTGCAATACAAGGATTGGCGCGGTGCGCAAGCACTGGAAGCACACGCGTTAGCACGCCTGTCAACATTGCATGTAGCGGTATCGTTCTCCTTGTCCACACACACGGGCATGCGAGCCTCAGCTATCCCCACCAGTTAGCTAGTACGAGCCAAGGTGCCGGCGATATCCAGAGCTCCCTGAGCACCGGCGTGCCGAACGGCCCGTACAGGGGCCCGGTGTACTCCAAGGCCATGGCGGCGACCTGCTGCTGCTGCTGCTGCTGCTGCTCCACCTGCTTCTCACCCGCTTGCTCCTCCTCTGCCGACCTGACCCTTTACCGCAACACTTTCCCCGCCCCTCCGGTCGCCCGTGGCCTTTTCCATGCGTGTCGCTGCCCTTCCCGATCTGTCCTCCTCGCAGTTTCCTGACACTCCGCACTCCGCCACCGTGGTCCACAGCAGGGCCACCAGTGGAGAGATGGGCCCAGCGGAGGCGGGCGGTAGGCCACTCCTTCTCCGGCGGTGGCCAGCAGGGCCAGCGATCTCTCAGCGCACGAACCTCCACGCCTGCGGTCTCGCCCGCTCCTCGCCGATCGGGGCCTGGGTGCCACGGCCCACTTCCCCAGGCGCGCGTGCGCGTTCGCCCTCGAGGGCCCCCTCGCCAGTCTGTCGGCGCTGCATCGCCGATGGCAGCTCGACGTGCCCTCCCCCCCCCCCCGGGAGCCAGGAGCCAGCCCCACCCGATGCCAGGTCGGCGCTCCCTTCCCCGAGCGCGCTCCAGGGGGGTAGGGTATAGGCTCAGAGGGGGGGAATCATCGACATGAGGAGGAGGAGGAGGAGGAGGAGGAGGAGGAGGAGGAGGAGGAGGAGGAGGAGGAGGAGGAGGAGGAGGAGGGCGGAGGAGGGCGGAGGAGGGCGGGGAGGCGGAGGAGGAGGAGGAAGAGGAGGAGGAGGAGGAGGAGGAGGAGGAGGAGGAGGAGGAGGAGGGCCCACTCATCGCCAGTAGGGGTCCGATGGCCCACCCTGCCCAGGAGCGTGCGGACCTGCCATCGGGGGCCTTCCGCCGATCGATCGGCAACAGGTCGCCGAGTCAAGCTGTGTGCTACACCCCTGAGCCTCCTCTGCCTCCTGGGGGTCAGGAAGAGGGCAGGCTCAATCCCTTGGCGGTTCCTTATTCGGGGCCGCATCTGTCGCAGAACGCAGTTTTCCCTTGAGTTTTCCTCGGTGATTCCTTTCTGGAAATTCTTCGTCAGGGCCGGTCTTTTTGATCAGGAACCATGTTTCCTCGGCTTGCCCTTCGTCGGCTCTGACCCCCAGAAGTCTGCCCCCAATTCGCAGGCGAATGAGTTTCCTGACCTCTCCTGGTCCGCGCACATGCCTCAGGCCAGGATGCGCACCTGCGCGGCAGTCGTCCAGCTGTAGGTTCCCCATGGAAGCCCATGGCGGGACAATGGCCCTCTTCTCCTGCTGCAGCAAACCGCGAGCCCAGCAGCGGTCGATGCCAGTTGTTTTTTGCCACGCTTGCTGCCGGCCGTCGTACCCATCTTTTTCGTACCCTGCTCGGGCGTGCCAATTGCTGTTGTTTCTGCTGCTCGCGCGCTGCTTCTGCTGCTGCCTCCGCCTCTGCCCTCGGCGGAGGGAAAAGCGACACCAACACCACCAGGGGTACACGTCTAGCGAGGAGGTCCAGAATGCCTTCTTGAGGTGGGGATTGGCGCTGTCTCCAGCTGGGAGGGGGGACCACACCACCAAGTGTCTTGACCCCCTCTGGCTCCTCGCTCTGGAGGTAGTGGTGTCGCTTGTCCTTGTGTCTTACCTCTCCTGCCTCGAGCAGCTCTGCAGGTGGTCGAGGAGGGCCCAGTGGACTTGATGGGCGCAAATTGCGAGGAGGGCGTTTACTTCGTCTTCGTCGAGATCCACGGCGTGGGCCCTCAGCGTCAGGAGGCCGTCGTAATGCAGATGTCCTTATCGATCATAGCTAATAGCTGTGTAGGTGTAGGTATGTAGCTATGCATGCATGTATGTACATGTATGTATTGTATGCATGCATGTATGTGTGTGTATGTATATACGCGTGTATTTATATCGCGGATGTATACCGTCATGTGTGCTTGGTTGCATGTATGCATGTATGCATGCATGCATGCATGCATGCATGCATGTATGTATGTATGTATGTATGTATGTATGTGTGTATATATGTATGCATGCATGTATGCATGTATGTATGTATGTATGTATGCATGCATGCATGCATACATGTATGTATGTATGTATGTATGTATGTATGTATGTATGTATGTATGTATGTATGTATGTATGTACCGTATGTACCGTATGTACCGTATGTGTGTACATTATGTACCGTATGTATTTACAGTATGTATGTACAGTATGTACGTATGCATGCAGCTAAATCTGCACATATGCATGTCTACATGCATGCGTTTACTTACGTATGCATGCATGCGTGTATGCCTACATATGCATGCATGTATGCATGCATGCACGTTTGGCCTACATACATACATACATACATACATACATACATAGATACATACATACATACATACGTATATACATGCATGCATACATACATACATACATACATATATACCTACATAGATACATGCATACATACATACATACATACATACATAGATATATACATACATATATACATACATACATACATACATACATACATACATACATACATACATACATACATACATACATACATACATACATACATACATACATACATATATGTATATGTATATATATATATATATAGGCAGGGTCTGTATGTACACTTTATCTAATTACATGTGTGTATCTGTATTTTTAGGTCTTACATCACAGCTCACGGATCCGACGCCCTGCGACTCCCGCCCCGAAGCGGGACCTCCCCAAGCCCAGCCCTTGGGGCCTTTCGACGCCCCTGGAGAGGGCCTGCCGGGACTCCCAGGCCTCCCGACGTCCGTGCCCGTGCTCGCCGGCGAGCCCAGCGTGGTCAGAAGGGCACCCAATGGGGGCCTCACTACAGCCCCGAGCGGCCCCACGCCCACCATGAGAAGGCGAAAACCCACCCCCACCCCCAGTCCCGACGCCCACCCCCGAGCCTGCGATCCGGGGGGTCGGGACTGGGGGTGGGGGTGGGTTTTCGGGGTCCAGGAATAGAGAAAACCCACCCCCACCCCCAGTCCCGACCCCCCAGATCGCAGGCTCGGGGGTGGGCGTCGGGACTGGGGGTGGGGGTGGGTTTTCGCCTTCTCACACCAGACGCCCGAAGACAGCCCAAAGAAAGCCCCCTAAGAGGCCCTCGAAGCGCAACAGTGCAGCGGTGTGCGGCCGTTTTTCCTACGCTTCTAGAATGTTTGTTGTTGTCCGTCTTCCGGGCGTCCAAGACCGCCCGAGGGGCCTCCAAGATCGCCCCCAGACTGGACAAAAAGGCATCAAGACTGCCCAAGAGAGCTCCAGTACAGCCCAACAGACCCCAAGATGGCCCCGAGAAAGGCCCCCAAGACACCCTCTCAAACATTTCAAATCGGGGCCACGTCGTTGAGGAAAACCACGAAGGGCAGTACGTAGGATGGTTCCAGTAAGGCCCCAGAGGCCCTCCAAAGACGTTCAGGAAGACCCCAGAGGCCCCCAACAAGCCCCAAGAAGCCCCCAGAGGCCTTCCAAGAACTCCCTCAAGGATGGGCCTCCACAAAGAAGGAGGACGGGAAAAGGGTTCGCAAAAAATGGCGAGAACGATGAAGAAATGGAGCAGGAGGATAAGAAAGAGAACGACAGCGCGAAATTGGAGTCCACGACATGTTGCATCGCTCCCTCTCTCCCTCTCTCTATTTATATCTCGTTCTCTATCTCTCATCCCGCCCGTGCGAGACTTCAAGGACCAACGTGCATGGCGCGAAGCGCCAATGCAGTTTTGCTTGGGTGTGTGTATACGCATATATATAAATATGTGTGTATATATGTATACACATGATACCGGAGTAAATACCCAATCCGGTTTTTGTTGGGGCAATGGCGTTATATGGGCTATATGGCCATAGGGGTATAGTACTATAAGGCTATTGGGCTATAGGGGCTATAGGACTATAGGGCTATAGGGCTATGGGGCTATATGGCTATGGAGCTATAGGGCTAAAGGGATATAGGGCTCTAGAGCTCTAGGGCTCTAGGGCTCTAGGGCTATAGGGCCATAGAGCCATAGGGCTATAGGGCTATAGGGCTATAGGGTTACAGGGCTATTGGGCTATAAGGCTATATGGGCTACATGAGCTATTGGACTACAGAGCTATAAGGCTGTAGGGCTATATGGCTATAGGGTACCAGGAGACCCCCGGGCACCTCCGGGCACCCCCGAGCACCCCGGCACCCACGGGCACCCACGGGCACCCGGGCACCTGGGCACCGGGCCACCGGCCATCGAACCCGGGCACCCCCGGGCACCCGCGGGCACCCAGGCACCCGGCCACCGGCCACCAAATCGACGCCCCACCTCACCTGACCATATGAATCCGCTAGGACCCCCTACAGAGGCAAGCTCTGATTGGGGAATATAGACGCATACATAGGACACGGGGTGCCCGCAACCGCATCCGCATTTGCCCTCAGACCTCCAAACCTGTGCAACGCATGTCGGGCCGCCGCGGGCGTCCGACACCGCACCCGCCACCGCTCAAGCAGACGCACCCGCCACCACGTGGCAGCACATGTTTGGCCACGTGCGCTCGCAACTGCACCCGCAAATGCCGCAAATGCAACCATTCAGCACATCTCGGGCCGCGGGAACCCTCACCCGCACTTGCCACCGCAACCCTGAATCCGCACCCAGGCAGCGAATTTTGGGCCTCGGGCACCCGCACCGGCACCGTCAACTGGAACGGGGCAAGACATTTCATGCGCGGGCGCCCGCAGCCGCCTTCGTCATCATCACCTCCATCGTCATCGTCTTTGTCATCCTCATCCTCATCCTCATCCTCCTCCTCCTCCTCCTCCTCATCATCATCATCATCATCATCATCAGCATCGCGGTCCCTATCGTCGTTGCCACCATCATAGTCATGGCCATCACCATGAGATGACTTCTTTGCCACACTCACCAACCACCGTGGCATTCGCAGTCGACCCCGCCGTCATGAATAATTGCACCCTGACGTCAGGCTGCCCCAAACTGCATTACTACTCACTGGCTAGAGGACTGTACTGTCCTGCCTACGGGATTGCATGCGGGA